TTTTAAGGCTGGGCGTGGTGGCTCACGCTTGTGGGAGGCCTAAGCGGGCTGATTGCTCAAGGTCAGGAGTTCAAAACCAGCCTGAGCGAGACCCCATCTCTACTATAAAAATAGGAAGAAATTAATTGGCCAACTAATATATATACTATATAAATTAGCCGGCATGGTGGCACATGCCTGTAGTCCCAGCTACTCGGGAGGCTGAGGCAGAGGATCGCTTGAGCCAGGCGTTTGAGGTTGCTGCGAGCTAGGCTGACGACACGGCACTCACTCTAGCCTGGGCAACAAAGCGAGACTCTGTCTCAAAAAAAAATTTTTTTTTTACTCAAAGGAGAATCAAAAGGATGCATCAACACCAAGGGCTGCAGGGGAAGTAAGTAAGAAATGATCAGATAAAAGAAGGATCTGAGAACAGGATGGGGGTGTCAGAACTGAAAAGAGGGAGGATTCAAAGTTGGAGATGTTTTAGGTGCTGTCAAGGATAAGCACTGGTGAGTAGGGAGGTGGAGTGGAGGAGGAATTTGGATTTTAGATCTCAGAAACATGGAGTCAAGGGTTAAAAAAAAAATTTTTTTTGAGATGGAATCTCACTCTGTAGCCTGGGTTAGAGTGCCCTGGCATCAGCTCACAGCAACCTCAAACTCCTGGGCTCAAGCAATCCTCCTGCCTCAGCCTCCCAAGTAGCTGGGACTACAGGCACCCGCCACTGTGCCCGGCTAAGTTTTTCTAATTTTAGTTGTTTGGCTAATTTTCTTTCTATTTATAGTAAAGACAGGGTCTCGCTGTTGCTCAGGCTGGTCTTGAACTCCTGAGCTCAAGTAATCCTCCCACCTCAGCCTCCCAGAGTGCTAGGATTACAGGCGTCCACTGTTAAAATTTTGAGGAAGAGGGGATGATTCTGGCTGACAGATACCTGAGAGAGGGAAAGAAAAGGATATCGAAGTGTGTAAGAACAATTGTTTGCTCAGGGACTGAGGTTCCAGTTGTGGGAGGCTAAACATGTGAAGACAGTATGCGCAGGGAGGTGCTTGGAGGAGCTGTGCTGAGCAAGATTCACTTAGACAAAGAAGGCTAGGGGAGCGCTTGTCAGGCTCAATGGAGGTGCCACAGCTCAAAGCTGTCTGTAGAGAATGCTGTGTAGGTATGCAAAGATGGTGAGCGTAGGCAGCCTTCGGAGTGGCCAGGCAAGCAGCCTCATCTCTTTATTTCAGAGTATCCTAGAAATATTTCTTGGGTCATAGCATAAAAAAAATATAGAAGTGGTTGGTAAGTGCTGTCATAGTTGATGCCTGGTTTTACATCAGGTGATTTATCTTTGCCTCAGCAGCACCGGCCCAGGTTCTGGAGTATAGCAGGTACTAAGCCTGTTTGATGACATATAACCACTGTTGGTATGCTGGGAGTCAGGAGAACTGAGTTCAGGTTTGGCTCTGCGACCACTTTGCTGTGCAGATCATGGCCAAGCCCCTGCGAACTTTATGCTGCATCTCAGTTTCCCCATCAGTTTCGTGAGGAAATTAGACTAGAATTCAGGGTTCCTAATGATTTGGAGGGTCATGACGCCCTCTAAGAATCCGATGAAAACCAGGGACCCTCTCCCACCGGTATCACACATGCAGGAATAAACAAACATGTGCCCTTTCAGAATGTGCTTGGACTAGATGCCTGTGGTCAAACTAGAATTCACCTGAGGCATTTAATCTAGTCTGGGGCTTGCTTGACTACCTCTTTGTCACAGCCTAGCTTCAAAGAGCCCTTTTTCAGAGAGGTGAAAGCATTCCTCTCAGAAATTATTTGATATAACCCTATTCTTCGGCATTTGTTTCCTGGGGGGATTCTTTTTTTTTTTTTTTTTTTGAGACAGAGTCTCTCTCTGTTGCCTGGGCTAGAGTGCCATGGCGTCAGCCTAGCTCACAGCAACCTCAAACTCCTGGGCTCAAGCAATCCTTCTGCCTCAGCCTCCCGAGTAGCTGGGACTATAGACATGCACAACCATTCCCAGCTAATTTTTTCTATATATTTTTAGTAGAGACGGGGGCCTTGCTCTTACTCAGGCTGGTTTTGAACTCCTGACCTTAAGTGGTCCGCCAACCCGGGCCGCCCAGAATACTGGGATTACAGGCGGGAGCCACCATGCGCAGCCCCTGAGAGGCTTCTTAACTTGCCTAAAAGCCCTAGGCTACAGACAACTTGATAAAACCTATAAAACAAAGCATTTGTAGTACTCAGTGAGCTTCAATACCCAACAGGCTTGGATGAGCTACATTAGATATAACCCGAAATACAGACATTTTGCAAAATCTGAACACTGGAACATGGTTCATCTTAGACCCAGTTCAGGTTTTGCTGTCAGATTAAGAGGAATTTAGTGTGAAGTTGCCTCAGTCAAGGAAAATAAAGTATAGGAAGGGAGTAAATGCTGTCTCAAGTTCAAGAGCACAGGGGAATGGACTCGGGGAGGCAGTGAGATGTCATGGAAGAGAAGGGAAGGAAATCTCTACACTGGTAGCAAGTAGTCCAGTGAACCCAGTGAAGTACCGTAATCAACATGTCTGCCCTTGGCCGGGCACGGTGGCTCACACCTAATCCTAGCTCGTTGGGAGGCTTAGGCAGGAGGATCTCTTGAGGTCAGGATTTTAAGAGTAGACTGAGCAAGAGTGAGACCCCCGTCTCTACCAAAAATAGAAAAAATTAGCTGCGTGTGGTGGCACAGGCCTGTAGTCCCAGCTACTTGGGAGGCTGAGGCAGGAGGATTCATTCAGCCTGGAGTTGGAGGTTCCTGTGAGCTGGGCTGTCGCCACGGCACTCTAGTCCAGGCAACAGAGAGACTCTGTCTCAAAAAAAAACAACAAAAAAAAACATGTCCACTCTCTATGTGACTTTGGAAAAGTCAGTATTCCTGAGCTCTGGTTGCCTCACATGAGTAAACAGCACCCTGTATTTAAGAAAAGAGTTGGAACTGAATCCCAGCCATGAAAATTACTTGTTCTACAACGCTGGCAAATTAATCTTTACCTGTTTCCTCATGAGAAATTATTATCTTGGAGGATCCTTGTAAGATTTGATCCTTTATGAAACGCACATAGCACAAGCTTGCCACAAAGCAGAGGCTCAATAAATAGAAACTTGGCCAGGCCCGGTGGCTCAGGCGTGTAATCCTAGCACTCTGGGAGGCTGAGGCGGGAGGATCACTCAAGGTTAGGAGTTCAAAACCAGCCTGAGCAAGAGCGAGACCCTGTCTCTACTAAAAATAGAAACAAATTAAATGGCCAACTAAAAATATATAGAAAAAAGTTAGCCGGGCATGGTGGCTCGTCCCTGTGGTCCCAGCTACTCGGGAGGCTGAGACAGAAGGATTGCTTGAGCCCAGGAAGGAGTTTGAGGTTGCTGTGAGCTAAGCTGACACCACGGCACTCTAGCCAGGGAAATAGAGAGACTCTGTCTCAAAAAATAAATAAATAGAAACTTGATTTTCAGTGCTTGTTAGGAATAAATGTCATTGTGAACATACAAGTGCTATTATACTTATTCCTGATGGATACTGCTGAGAAAGGGGGGAAAAAAATCAAGTTTCTTGGCTAGGACTTTTTGTGTAGCTCCTATGTTTTAGAAGATGTGTCTAACTCCCTTTTGTGAAAATCTCTTTTCCTTCAGTTAATTTACCTAAATGAACAGGATTCAAAATTCTTTAATCAGTTCACTAAAGCTCAGTGTAGACTGCCACCACGCCAAAAAAACTAATCCTACCTTGGCAGCCAGATTATACACATTTGAAACTGAACCACCGGGAAAACCATAGCTGGGAAATAACCTGCTTTGCAAATCTGGTCGGGGTTTGTGGGCCTCCACAAAGCAGAGTTTAAGTTTGATAAAGTGGTTACTGGCACTACCTTTACAGGGGAGGTGGGGACAAAAACCTGTTCATTTATATTTGAAGCTGTATGCAAATAAAACTTTTTTGCTATATAACTCGAGTAGACGATTATGTGTAAAACTGATATAAGTTCTGGAACTAATCCCCAATCTTCCCAAAACTGCTCTCAGGAAGGATTTTCTTGTTTCTGTTTCAGCTCCAATTCATGTTCTTTTCTAAGTTTTTTCTTTTTGGGGTGGGAAGTAGGTTTTGCAGTGGCACCATTATAGCTCATTGCAACTTCAAACTCCTGGGCTCAATCACTCCTCCAACTCCTGCCTCAGCCTCCCAAGTAGTTAGGACTATAGCCTTGAGCTACCACGCCCAGCTAATTTTTTTCATTTTGTATTAACTCTCACTATGTTGCTGGTCTCACACTACTGGCCTCAAGTGATCCTCCCACCTTGGCCTCCCAAAGTGCTGGGATTACAGGCAGGAGCCACCAACCCTAGTTCTTTTCTCCATTTTAAAAGAGGGCTGAACAGCCACTGGCAACTTATACCAAGACAAGCAAGCTTTTAGCACCCAACACTAGATCCATATGAACTATCTGTAAGGATTCAGGATAAAAAGCTGGATGTTGGTATCTTGTAAAGAAAAAGGACTCAGTCTTGCCTCATTTGACACTAACTTACTAAGTGACCCTGGGCAGGAATTTTGGCCAGTTTCTCCATCTGTTTAGAGGAGAGGGGGTGGTGATTGAGATGATGCCTGTGGTCTCTTCCAGTTCACATTTCAGTCTGCGTTTCTCACCTTTTAGCTTATCTTTATGGCAGAGCCAGTTTAGACCAAAGACAAAATCCCCAATAATGTTTTAACATGTGACCACTTTAAGGTTCTAAATCACCATGCACAGAAACTCTTATTGAAAATGGCGCTTGGCCATGTACTGGAAATTTAAACAGCTTTGTATCGGGTTGGAAGCCATGTTAACTTCCCACCCTCTGGTTCCTTCATTAAATAAAGTTTGTAAAATTCTTTATCAAGGTTCCCCTCTGGGCCCTTTGGTACCATGTGCTGTTTATACACAAAGAATCCCACAAACTTGCTTTTGAGACCTGCATCCTAAAACCAGAATAGCACATGATACAGCCTCTAAGTCATCATTTATTGATTTATAGAGCACCCATCACATGATTTAGGTGCTTTACAATACAGTAAACATCACAACAGAACTCACATAGTTAAATACAATCAACAAATTACAGAACTAAAAAAAAAAAAAAAAGAAGAAACTGGAATGAAGCAACATTATGTCAAATTTCGAAGATGCTGAGAAGTGGCAGTACAAAAAAGGTAATTCCACCAACTGGAGACCAGACGGGCAAAAATACACAGGCACCACAACCCAAAGTGGGCAGATTTGTAGGGGGTGAGCGAGCATATAAAATTTCACAACCAAGAATGAAGGCCATTAAAGATACTGACACTCAAGTGATCACAGAATGAGTGGAATAACCTGACAAGCATATTACCTTATAATGACAAGGAAATCAACTTCATATGGATTTTAAACTCAAAAGAGGAGGCCAGAAAGCCACTGAGACCATCCATCCCATTGTGAGCACAGACTGAAATCTGTAAGCCTCTGTGAGAACTTGGAATAAATTCAGGAAACAGCCAACAGTTCTACAATCCTTAAGATTATGTAGATGTTATTGATGGTTGGCACAAGGTTGGCGGGCAGGGTTCCTTTTCCTAAAGCAGAGAAGAATCACCTCACAAAAATGATGAGGTACTGGTGGGACAAAAGCCACCTGGTTCAGTGTCACCTGAGTAGAGTTTAATTTCAAATGTAGAGGCATTTAAGTTTACATTTTCAGATGAACACTGGCAAGGCACAGATGACATCTCTGACAGAGGAAAAGAAGTCATAACATCTTTCTAGGCCTGTGTTTCAGTATGTAGCATGGTCAGGGCACCAGGCAGAAAAGAGTGTGAAAAGAGATGCACTCATTCCTGGCTCTTCCTTCCACTCCCCTAGAGCTAGCCCTAAAAAACCACATGGTTATACCAAAGTAACTGCATTAAAGTGGCACTTAAAGTTCAAAAATAGTTGTCCCTGAGTTACTAGGTCATTTGCTACTTGCTGAAGAATCAAATCCCAGGTTTTAATTCTGCTAGCACAATTACAGCAATAGGAGAGAAAAATTCTAGCTCCATTTTGCCACAGCAAACACCATGTGAACAACTTCTGATTTAAGAGTCAAAGGGATTGCATGCCAAGTCATTTGTAGGTGTGCAGTGCCAGCATTTAGGGGTAAAAATTTCTATAGGGTCTTTGGGGAAGAAAAAAAAAGTCACAAAGTTCTTGAAGAAAACTGGGCTCCAAAGAATCAAATCAAACAATTTTCACAGTCACTACATATTTATGGGTTTTTATGTTTATGGAGTTTTACATGCTTTGGAGTGGAGAAGAGACTGAGATTTAGAAAATTCATTCTCTACTATGAATACATCCTCAACTATTTTATTTCTGCTTAAAAAAGGACATACAAAATTTGTAGAGGTGCGGGTTATTGGCAGGAATCCTTTTACTCTTCTGCCAAAGCATTTCTCCAAACCCCACAGAAAAGAGATGCACCAGTTCTCACTTATTCTCACAATCAAACACCATGTCCCCATCTGGTACTGTCTCAAGTTCTATGCTTTACATGCCAACGACTACTTCCCATTCCTAACCTCTCAACAAACATTGAGGATCCTAGGCCTGCCTTTAACACGTCACATGCTCCTTTTACCATTTGCTGAAGTTGTTTTAGAAAATTGTATGATATGAAATATATTTATACTCAAACATTAATCAAATCCAAGTGCACTATGTCAGTGACAGAATCTGCATGTCAAATAGTGACGCATTTACCTCGTAATGCTTTTAGATTCACATATGAATCTAGATAGAACCCAATACATATACTGCCATGGCCATGTGATTTTCAAGTATTAAGTTTGTTTGCATAAGGAATCAACCTGAGATTTCTCTAAACTGCACTTCTCTGGCATTCAGTATTATAACCTTCATTCAATACAATAAAAGCCAACAACTTGACAATTATTGAAAAAAAAATTATATTTTGGAAGAACTCACTACATAAGGTGACAGAATTCCAAAATCAAATTACATGAAAATATACATCGCAATTTCTTTGTACAATAGGTGAGAAAACTCTGCAGTATAGAAGAATAGAGGCAAAGAAATATAAAGGACTCAGGAGAAGAGTATAGGGGTAAACAGCATTTTTAGTAGCAAACCCAGGAGTTAAGGAGAAAGCCTGTAGCTGAACTGTGCATGCTTTATTTATCCAACCTTAATATTAAGCAACTCAAGGGCAAAATGAAACCAAATCAGAATTTGATACTATTTGGGGAAAATTTCAGTAAGTTGAATTAAGAACCAACTCTTTTAGTTCTCGGGGGTAATGACTGGGTTCAAGAGCTCTCAACGGCCAAAAATGTTATTGCTACATCCAATCCAAGAGATGGGTGCAACTAGAATACAAAAAGGACAAAGCACCTAGTGATGACTATCCTCTGAAGTCATCAATAAAAATCAAGTAATTGCTTATTAAGTATTTCAGTATTTGAACTAAATGATTTGAGAACTTTCTGGCAGCTAGAAGAGATAAAAGCAAAGGGGAGTGTGTCAAAACAAAGAAGATACAAAAGTTTAGTAAGTGAAAAGAGTTTAATGTAGCCTCAATGGTTTAAAGGAAATTAAATGGAAACTTTTAATCCTAATTGCTTTTCATCTGACATGCTTTAAGGAGTCTTTTAAAACTGATAGGAAACAATGAATAGGAAAGAAAACCTGCTAAAATCTTTTAGAATTTACACGATTCTTATTCTACTACAAGAAAGCATTATTTGGTACAAGGTGTATTTGTGGATGTACATGAACAGTATATATATTATCCGGATCATGTTGTGCTATGTACAGGTCTTTACAATTCTTCCTGAAGGTTAAAACAGTTCATTAGAATTCAAAATGCGTAATCATCTGTAAGTTGGCACTTGTTAGGCTCTTGTCAGCATTGATAACTGGCATGTTTTATTGCAGCCCAGTTCCAGCCAGTGTCTGCCAACTTGTTACAACAGAAGTCCAGCAATAGGTGGGTAGAGTGCAGGAAAACAGTGCCATGTTTCTCAATTGGAGACCTACAACAAAACAAACAAAATTTCATGATGAATTACGTAAGAGAATTGATTGATTAGAAATTTTTATGTACATTCTTTTTCTCTGGCAACAAATCCTAAACTTCATTTTAAGTTCACTTTTGTGTTTGTCTATTATGGTAGCCACTAGCCACATGTGGCTGTTTAATTTTAAATTTAAATTAACTTCCTGGCAATTTCAAATGGGGGAAAAAAATAAATAAATAAATAAATAAATTTAAATTAACTACTATTAAATAAAATTCACAGGGCTAGGCATTAGCTCATACCTGTCATCCTAGCACTTTTGAGAAGCTGTGGTGGGAAAATGCTTGAGGCCAAGACTTTGAGATCAGCCTGAGCAACATAGCAAGACCCAATCTCTACAAAAAACTTTAAAAAATTAGCCTGATGTGACAGCACATGCCTACAGTCCCAGCTACTTGGGAGGCTGAGGCAGGAGGATTGCTACAGCCCAGGAGTCAGAAGTTGCAGGCAGCTCTGATAACACAACTGCATTCTAGCCTGGGGAACAGAGCAAGACCCTGTCTGAAAAACAAAATCTACAATTTCATTCCTCAGTCATACTAGCCACATGTCAAGTGCTCAACAGTCACACATGGTAGGGGCCACCATACTGAACAGCACATGTACAGAGTATCTCCGTCATGGTAAAAAGTTCTACTGGACGGCAGTGACTTAGATTTTTCAATATTCCAAATGTCTTTCAACTTATATTACACCCAGAATCACAAAGAGATGAATCATTTAAAAGTCAAGTGAGGGGGGGAGGAGTCAAGGAAATATATAAATATTTAAGGATATTCAGAGAAACAAGATCGCCACATTTCTGAACTTGCTGTTTCTATCCAACTCTCTAATTCAGTTCAAACCCATTTCTATCCAACTCTCTAATTCAGTTCAAACCCATTTCTATCCAACTCTCTAATTCAGTTCAAACCCATTTTCTACATGGAGCTTCCCACAAATAACTCTCCATCCCAATTTCAGTTCCTAATTGTTTTGTATCTGCTAGTCTCATATGCTCAAGTCAAGAACACATCTAAATAAACCCATTACAACCTTATCAAGTGCTTATTATGTGCCAAGCAGCATGCTAAGTACTTTACAAACTCATTCACACAAGGCTCACAATCATCATGTGGAGTTTCCCCCATAAAAGCCAGACAAGGTCACAAAGCTATAAATGGTAGCATTTCCTGTTCAAAAAGTTAGGCAAACACTGTGTTCAAATTGTAAAAGTCTGATTGAATGATTGGACTTTTCAGAGCCTTTATTATATTATAATGTGTACTTTGAATATGGGGGGTTGGCTGAGGGCAGCAAAGAACAAAACACCTATTTCTATTACATCTTTAGGTCAAGAGTTCCAAAGAACTCAGAAACCTGTACCTGATGCCAAGTACAATTTTGGGCAAAAGAACTCAAACAGAAGACAACTGGGAACTCAAGGGATAGAATTTTAAACTCCTGATAGGCCAAATGTACTTAAGAGTTATGGCAGGCTGGATGGGGTGGCTTGCGCCTGTAATCCTAGCATTCTGGAAGGCTGAGGTGGAAGGACTGCTTGAGGTCAGGAGTTTAAGACCAGTCTAAACAAGAATGAGACCCCCTCTCTACAAAAAATAGAAAAATTAGCTGGGCGCAGTGGAGCATGCCTATAGTCCCTGCTACTCGCTTGAGCCCAGGAGTCTGAGGTTGCAGTGAGCTATGATGACACCACTGCACTCTACCCCAGCAACAGAGTGAGACCCTGTTTCAAAAAAAATAAAACAAAAATCCTTCTGGTAAATTTTAACTCTTACCAGACATGTTCAAAGGTCAGTGTGCCTTCTAAAGCCCAGAGTGAATTTATCAATCCTACAATCACCTAAATTCAACCATACCAAAAGCCCCATTGTGGAGACAAAGAAAGCTGTGCGCCAATCTGTGGCTCTACATGTGCCTATTTCCATAATTTAGACTATATCCTCCCTAGATAGATCTAAGATAGAGCATAAGACACAGAACTGCTAAATTTCTTTCCAAAAGGGTTGTACTAATCAATGTAAACAGCCCTTGGCAAAGAATGCACCAAATATGAATATATTACCTTCATCAGAATCAGGTTCTGCTATTTGCACACAGATACACACATATTCCGATACACGTTTTTACTAAAAAAATCTAAAGACATATTCAAACTCAAGAGACAATGTTACGGAATAAGTATTGTAACTTTCAGGTAATGTTTTTCCGAAAACTGTACCACACCCAAATTACTCCCTGGCCAATAACTCTGTTTGGGCATTCAGTAATCATTCCCCTATGATATTAGGTTATTAAGTATGATTTCCTTAAGTACTAGGTTTGACAGCTGATATCTCTGACATTTCACTTTGGCACTTGTTTTATTTTTACCATGACAGTACATCCTAAGTCATTCAAACACAGTTTGGCTTGTGATTATCTTTCAAATATTTTTTAGAGCAATTTTTATGAAACCATAAATAAGTAAAAAATGTGTGTTATTTTAAAATATGAATTCCATTGTGGAACCAGTGCAGCATGGACACCTCAATATATCAACGACGTGTTGTGGGAAGGATGCAGCTAACGAATACACGATAAGTCAATGGTTTGAGAAGTTCCATTCTGGTGATTTTAATCTTAAAAATGAGCCATGTGGGTGACCTGAGACCAAGGTGGAGCAGCAAGGTTTGATGTTACTATTCCAACAACACTGGACCATTTGAAACAAATGGGCAAAGAAGCTGCATAGATGGGTTCCGCGTGAATTAAATGAGAATCAGAAGAGAAATCATCTCCAAGCTTGCCTATCTTTGCTGTCTCAACATAAAAGTGAATCATTTCTACTTTATATTGTTACGTGTGATGAACAATGGATTCTTTTTGACAATTATTAAGTGTTCGCCACAATGGCTGGATAAAGATGAAGTGCCAAAACAAGGTCCAAAACCAAATATTTATCAAAAAAAAAAAAAACTAATGGTGTCTATTTGGTGGTTGAGCGCTGGTATTATCCACTACAGCTTCATGAAACCTGGTCAATGACTACAGCAGATGTCTACTGCAACCAACTGGATGAAGTGATGAGGAAGCTTGAGATTAAGCAGCAGAGACTGGACTATAGAGACAGGCCAATCCTCTTGAAAGACAATGCTCGACCACACGTCATACAAAGGATGCTGGCTCAAACTACAGAGGCTGGACTTGGAAACTCTGTGATCCACATATTCACCATACCTTGCACCAACTACCACTTCTTCTAGGCTTTAGACCATTTCTTTTCAGGGAAAATATTCAATTCTCAACGCCTTTCACGATTTTATTGCCACTCACTCTCTAGGCTTCTTCGCTGCTAACATAAACAAGCTAACATAAACAACCATAAAGTGGCAAAGCTGTGTCGATAGTTGAGGCGCACACTTTAATTGTACTGCTTCTTGTTTGAGAAATAATAAACTATACTCTTGATCTAAAATTAGACATTTCATATTTAATGACCTAACACAAACACCAAGAAATTTCAAAGCCACAAAATATTCAAACTGTTTCTGCGTGAGGTTTTAAAGAAAAAACAGCAGAGAGAACTGCTAAAAATCATTAAACACCTAAAATCAGGAGACCTGGCCTTTTAATAGTGAAGGTCCAACTTTAAATAGCATTAGCTTTTTTCAGCAAAGAAAGAAAAATCTATTCCTCTTCACTTTGAAAAAAATTTCTTCTCAACAGAGGGAAAAAAGCCTTAGTTCTGAAAGTTTGTCATTCTTTTCTCTAGAAAGATAAATGTAAAAACTGAATTATCACCCCAGGCACAGTGGCTCACCCCTGTAATCCTAGTACTCTGGGAGGCCGAGGCGGGTGGATAGTTTGAGCTCAGGAGTTGGAGACCAGACTTAGCAAGAGAGAGACCCTGTCTCTACTAAAAATAGAAACAAATTAGCTAGACTTTTATAGAAAAAATTGGCCAGGCATGGTGGCACATGCTTGTAGTCCTCCCAGTTAACTTGGGAGGCTGAGGCAGTAGGATTGCTTGAGCCCAGGAGTTTGAGGTTACTGTGAGATAGGCTGATGCCACGGCAGTCTAACCCGGGCAACAGAGTGAGACTCTGTCTCAAAACTGAATTACTTGCAAAATACTCTAATAGTGCTGACCTGAAACAGTCATTTACATTTTTAGAAGCATATCCCACTTCTAACATTAATCTTTTAAAAAGATCTAAAAAATACAAAGCAGACCAATGTGCTCTGAAACAGAAAACACATTTTGATGTTTAAGACAATAATAAAAGTAATTCCTCACTCAGAGGTCAGTGTTTCAATTATCTCAACCACTTAAGTGAAAGCAGAAGAAAACAGCTAATATCAAAGAAGTTTTCCCCACACACAAACGCTTCCAAGAGATCCAGTTCATCCTACACTGCCACCCAGCATACTCTTACTCCAGCATCAATCCATTGACTTTTTCCCCTAAATGGAGATCTTCTACCATGACATTGGTGATCATCTATACCCAATTCCTTTCCGAAGATCTCACTCTCCTAGCTTTCTACCTTGTGATCAAGCCAGTCCCCATGTCTCTGTCTTGGTCTCTGCCTCCCTAAATGTAGAATTTGTCCAAGATACTGTCCTTGGCCCTAGTAAGTACTGTTCTCTACATCAAATGGATCATCTCTACAATGGTGAAACATTCAATGTAGCAGCCCTACTTCTAAGCTCTGCACTAACCATCTAATATTGAATCATGTGGTGACTTTTCAAAGCCATGCTCTGCTTCTAACACCAGTGAAACTCTTAATGTGGTTTAACCTTACTTTTTTTCATGCCTGGTCTACCTAGATAGAAAAATAGCTCTTTACTGGCCAGATAATGTATCTATGGTATTTTATGTATCCTTTTCGTCCCGAAGAGAACATTACCTTTGCAAATGGCAGGTAATTAACAAATACTCATTAATGAGAAATTAAATGAGCTCATGA